GCCTGGGGCAGCAGTGCGCAGCCCCGCACCTCCTCCTTCTCTTCTTCCTCGTTCTCCTTCTCCTCTCCCCCCCAGCCGGTGCTGCAGCCCCCGGCAGCCCTGCGCCGTCCGGCCGCGGCTCCCGGCGCCTCACTCCCTCCCTCCCAACGGGGCGTGAAGCCCGGGGGGGCCGGGGAGCGGCGGGGCGGCCCCGTTCCGGGGCGGCTCCGCCCGCGGTACCGACGGGCCGCATCCCCTCGGCCCGCACGGCTGTAACCCGACGAGGGGAGAACAAAAGGCAGGAGCGGCGGCGGGCGGGAGGGAGGGAGGGAGGGAGGCGCGGGGGGAGGGCAGGCGGCCGCGGGGGGATAAAAGGCGCTGCGGGACCCCCCCCGCCCCATGTCCGAGCCCGCCCGGCTCGGCCGCTCCTCGCCGCCCGGCATGGCCCGCCCGCCGCTGCCCGCCGCCGCGCTGCTCGCCGCCGCCCTGCTGCACTGCGCGCCCGCCGCGCCCGCCCGCCGCCACAAGCCGGTGAGTGGGGACGGGCACGGCCCCCGGGCGGGCACCGGGACAAAGAGGGTTTGCGAGAGGATCCCCCGCCTTAAAGGCATCGGAAGCGGCCGTTCCGCGTGAGAGCGAGGAGACGGGATAACCGGAGGAGAGGGGCGAGCAGGCAGCAGGGGCCGCCTGGTTCCGGCACCTGGGATGCGGCTGCGGCGCCGTGCCGGGGAGCGGCGACGGGAGGCACCGGGAGCGGCTCGTTGGCTTCTTAGGCGTGTGCTGCACCGGTGTGCCGTAAAGCAACGGCAAAGTGAATGCCCGGTAGCAGCCCGCGGGGATTAGCTGAGGGTCTGCCGATGGTTTTACTCTCGGCTCTGTCATCTGAGCACTTTCTAACTTGGCTGCTAAGTATGCCGTGGGCTGGGACTTGGCACCGAGCAGCCTCGGCCCCCGAAGCGCTTGTATTATTCCAAACCAAATGTCACCGCTCTTGGCTCAGCCGTCACTCTGAGGAAGGCGAGGCCGGGCGTTCCCGCGGCTCTCACCCACAGCGGCGGCCGCGCGGGGCGGCTGCGAAGAGGCAGAGCGCACGGCCGGCGGTGCTGCTGCGTGCGGGGCCGCTCGCCGTGCTGGGGGCCGCACGCAGGCTGGGACGCTGCCGCTCCCGAAGGGACCTGAGCGGGCTCCGCTCCTGCTGCCGGCAAGGACTCGCGAGGTTCCCCGGGGACGGGAGAGCCGGTCACGTGTGTCACATCCTACAGACGTGGGTCCGGTCCTCGCACCGTTCGCGTTCCTCCCATGGTGCGTGCAGCTGCCGGCCGGCTGTGAGGGCTGGTCGGACCCCCAGCTGGTAGCCTGCTGTCCCGAGACTGTTTCCTCCTCACTCTGGGTTAGCGCTCCGCATCCTGAGCGCTCATACTTTTGTCTTGGCTCGAGTAACTGCACGTGATACCCGTACAAATATGTTTTGCTAAGGAGCATCTTGTGCTGGTGTGTTTGATCAGCCTCGTGGAGATCGGGGTTGTAAATCAACGTTTCATTCAGTCTTTGCAGAGAGTGGCTGCGCTGCTTTGAGGGTTGAAATGGACAGATGTTTTTCCATCCTTTCAGATAGAAAGGATCATCTCAGATTTCCTTTTGGGTACATGTTCCTTATCTGGTGTGCTCCTGAAGGGCATTCTGGTGCCTCCAAGTACAGACAGCATCACAGTCGTTGCTCTCGGCAAGTAAGATGACAGCAAAGTGCCTCATCCCACTCCCAGTGCCCCTGCTGGGGTACGCTGTGGGGTGGAGCAGTGATTGCAGCGAGGAGGACTGCATGGTTGTCAGTGAATTTCTGGCCTCATCCCTTCTCTGCCCTTGTAAGAGAGCTCTGCCATGCCATCACATGCTCTCCTGGCTAATTTTAGTCCTTCTGCACAAAGAGATGTTTCCCCATGTCTAACTGCAGCTGTTTTCCTTCCTGTGCACCTTGTGCTGTCAGGTGATGAATGAGAAGGGAGCCAAAGGACTGAGCTGGGAAAGGAGGCTTGCTCCTCTGAGACAGAACATGGTGACTTCCTCTGGCTGTGCCAGTAGGAGGTGTGGGCGAGGGCTGCACTGCCAACACCCCGTACCCAGACTGGGGCTGCTGGGTGCTGCAACACCAAATGACAATAGCTGTAATTGGGGAGGGAGGGGAATAAAGGGTTAAAATTCATTTTAAGGCTGGGCTTGAGAAGCTTCAGTCTTTGTAGGAAGCTCTGTAGCTCTCCTTCACTTTTGCCTTTATGCCTAAGAAAGAAAAAACAGGGTAAAACACAGGCTGTGTCTGGTGTCCACAGTAAAACTTGAGAACAAAAGAACTGCAGTCTTTGGGCAGTGCACGGCGCGTGCTGAATTCCTGCATTGCTTTCAGCTCCCCTGGGAATTCAAAGTCACTCCGCTTGCTGGGAAACTCCGTGGAAAAGCAGTGGCACCTCCCCAGCTGCCAGCACCATCACCTGGGAGCTGCACGCCGCAGCTGTGCCCCCAAAGCCGACAGTCCTGGGCTCCCTGCACTGCTCTGCTGCAGCCCCCAGCTCTCAGCGGAGCTGGCGAGGCGGCTCCTGCAGGAAGGGTTTGATTTGCGCTGTTTGGTTTGGCTATTTAAATACTGCAATGAGTGTTGGGGTAATTTTAGGCATGTTTATCCTCTGCTCTGGGAGAGACTCAAGACACATGTAAGCAGTTATTCTCCAGTGGGCCTGTTGTGTTTGTGCTTTCACATGCAACATGCACACACCCTGCAGTGTGGCAAATGGGGTGCAGCTGACAAAGCAGGCTGAAAGGGAGAAGAGGGGAGAGGAGCACTCTGTGAAGACCCCACGCTGCAGCACACGCTCACTTTTACTCGCTCCCCTGGGTGCAGTCTGCCCTGGCCCACAGCTCAGAGGGGCTCGTAGAAGCAGGGCAAAGGTGTTGTTCAAAATGGGGCTTCTGTGGAAAACTTTTCATGCTGAGTCTGCTTGTAGCTGTCCTCCTTGTGGACAGTGGGGTTAAGGAGAGAGGCATCACAATCTCACACCATCTCACTTAAGTGGCTCTGAAAATTAGTGGAGGGAGAAAGTCCACTGGACGTCTCCAGCACATCAGGCAGGTGGCCAGTGCTGTCTTGTGGGTTTGGAGATCCCTGCCTGCATTCCCTGAAGGCAGAACATCCCCCATAGCCCTGCAGAGGGCTGCACTGTGCCTGGTGGCTGTACCAGTGAGAGGTGTCCTGGCTGTTGTCCCTGGGTTGAGCACCAGTCGCTCATCGCTCACCTCAGCTTGGATGTAAATGCACAGTGAACAAAAAGATCTCAGCCCTTCCTCATCTGGCTGGAGAGCACTGCATCCTAGATTAGTTTCTTGTCTTCAAGGGGATTTCTAGGTCATCAGCCTAAGGGCTCTTGAAACCTTCCACTGTCCTGGCATCCTGAGGCTTGTTTGCTTTCTAAGTACTGCTGCTTCTGGCAAACTGTTGCTTGGGTGACACCAGCAGCATGGCTGCAGAGTTAATGATGGACCAGACTCACAAATTGTTATGTAATTAAAGCGCCTGATAACAAAAATAGTCCTGCAGTGTTTATTCATTTGCTTTCTGTTGTTACATCAGAGCCTGAGCCTTTTCATTCTGACTGTGGGCATAAACATTTGCAGTCTATAATGTTTCGTGTTCTGTGTTGCTTAGGAAAAATAAACATTTTCCTTCTTTCGCTGCCAACAACAACTATCACCAAATAATCCGGAAACAAACCGTCAGGCCCCAGGAGGTCGTGCTTGGTGGTGCTGTGAAGTATGAGAGCGAGCAGAGAGGAACCTCCAACTGTGCGAAGGCCAGGAACTGCAGCACCTCCCATTTGACCTCGTTTGGCCAAAGGTTGGCCTTTTCCTTTCCATTCCCTCTGCTCTGTGTGCAGTAGGACAGAGCTGCAGCGCAGCTTGAAGGAGCCAGTCCTGTTATAGATGTGTTTGGTGTAAGTAAAGAATTCAAAGGGGTTGGGAGAGAGACTTGTTCAGGGAGGAGGACCAATAATCTGTTGACTTTGCTTACACACTTCTTCTGCAGCATTTCCATTAACTGTGCCTTCAGCAGCACAAAAAAGATGTTTCTGCTGTGGACTTTCAGCTACAGCATTCACACCTTTGTGACCATCCAGTGCTGCGCTTATGGTCTGCCTCCACTCTCTACTCCAGAGCAGGGTGACCCCGGTTTCAATGCTAACAGCTGCAAGTGCACTTCCAATCCAACCCTGCAGACCCGTGCTGGGATGAGAAGCAGGCTGGTCAAAATACTGGGCAGAGTGCTCTGTGCCTGAGGAAACCAGTGCTGATGTCCAGCAAGACCATCACCAAGAGCCTGCTCAGCAGTGCACAGCCACTGAGGGGGCACAGCTGCCTGGCAGCAGAAAAGACATGCTGGAACTGTTGTACATGAGAGCCACAGGGGAAATCGTATCTGCTCTTGAACTAAGGGAAGGAGTGCTCCAAGGTGCAGACTCATGGATGGGAGGAGGATAATCCCACTAGCCAAAGGGAGAGCAAATACTAGGGCCACACCAAATACTCTGAGTAACAGAAGAAGAAAACAAGGAGAAATAGAAAAGTATCAGAAGGGGCAAGGAGGTGGGGAGAAAGCCCATCTACTCATCCCACAGCAGAAAAGAAAACAGCCCTCAGCCACAGGGGAAGTATCCAAGACTGATGGAATTCATGCTGTAGCTTGTCCAGTCCCTCCCATCTGACAGGGAGGGGGGTCTCCTTTCATGTCTGTGCTGCAGGAGTCAGCAGGAGCCCAGCCGTGGAGGTAATTAGGTGTGTGACAGAGAAGACAAGTTTAAGTTCAGGGCAGGCAGCAGAGGATGGACCCAGTCAGAGGAGAGCACCGAAGTTGTCTGTACCTGGCGGTGGCCTTGCTCTTGAGGTTTTTTATACACCCATTGTAGCTGTGCTGCTCTGGCTGCTTCTCTTTTCTGGGGGATGAGTGCTGCCCAACACAATGAGGTTGAAGATGCTCCTGGCTCCTTGGGATGGCTGGGACACTTCCTGGGAAGTTTGGCTGATGTTCATCTGGCCCCATCAGAGCTGGAGAGATGTATGTTGTCACAGAATTTGAGTACTGAGACAGCTGGAAGGAACCGAGTGGGCAGTCAGCACCTCCATGGTGGTTTCTGCTCTCCCATGGGATCAGTCCTTCCCTCCAGCTCCCCCTCAACCTTTTGGTCACAAGGCTGTTAAGAAGAGGTTTCTCTTTCTCTGCAGCCCTCTTTGTGAACAGTTTTGTTCCTCTGCTCTTTGCTCTGGGTTTCAGGCCTGGCAGTCCCACTGCACTCAACCACTTCTGCTCTGCACTTGCAGAAATTTTGCTGCTCAGTCTCCATTGCAAAGCCTTGGCTTCTTCCCCCGTGGGAAGCTGCCTGTTCCTGTGTACACTCACCATCCCTGACTATGGGTTATCCTGTGAAGGACAGTGCAAAGGGCTGCAGACTGCTGTAGGCTCAGAGGCAGCCCTTTGCATGGGAGGCTTCTGGTGGGCTGGGGATCAGCTGTCACTGGGGAGAGCTGGCATGCTCAGTCTTCTGCAGCCCTTGGCTCCCCCAGGCTGGCAGGAGGTGAGGCAGGCTCTCTCACACTGTCTGATTTCCCATCTTCCCTGCAGGTGCTGTTCTTGTGCTCTGAACCAGTTCTGCTTTTGGCCGTTCTGAATGTCTTTCCTGGCTTGCAGAGACCTCCCCTTGCTTTTGGTCTTCAGCAGTCCTTTCCCCTCTGCTGGCAGGATGGGAGGAGTGGGGATGCCCTCATGGTTACCCTACAGCTGTTGCCTTCCTAAGCCCTTCTCCACAGGTTTGTCCTTGCTTCAGCAGCAGCACAGCTCTAAGCAAACCCCTAAGCATACAGTTAGGGCATACCACATATGAAGAGCTCAATAAAACAAAGCAAGTGCTCCCTGAAATTCCCATACATATCCCATAGATGGGTGGTTTCAGCACAGGGTGGAAGGGATTCAACCTTAAGTGACAGGATGTGCCTTATCTAAGCCTTGGGAAGTGACTGCAGTGAGGTGTGTCCAGTCAAGGAGGCTGAAATCTCCAGCCTGATACGTCTCCTGAGCATTGTTTGGAAAGTGGTTTCTGCCCGTCACATTTCCCCTTGCTGGCTGTGCCTGCAGTGGCATTTTCCAGCCCTTTCCTGCCATCATGCTAATGTCAGTGTGGTGACGGCAGAGAGAGACTCTATGCCCTACCACTGTTTGTGCAGGGGTGCAGCAAGTGCAGGGGCAGCAGGGCAGGTCTAACGTCCTGCTTCCACCCAAGGGACCTGCTGGTGTCCCCTCCCAAGCCCAGTCAGGCTCAGTCATGGCAGCGGGAAGGCAGGTGGAGCAGGGAGGGTCCTGCTTAAAGGTAAAGTTGGGTCTGGATGTTTGGAGTTTGTGCCAACAAGCTCAAGTTAACCAAACAGTAGAGACAAAACCTGGCTGTCCTTACCCCCGGAACATAGGTTCCCCCAGGGCAAGAAGGAAAAAGGTAATTTCTCCTCTCTGCTTCTGCTCAGACGTTGATAATCTCTAGTTTATGCCAGTGTTCCTAGCCAAAAAGCCAACAATTGACTTTTCCTCCAATTGTCAGGCCTCCAGCAGTTAGGGTAGATCTTGCTATCATAGCCAAGACAAAAAGCCCATCTTCAATTTCAGCTCACTTGCCTGCCTGGGTAACTCCCGTCCCACTTCCACAGTGAGGGCTTTCCCCGGAGTCCATCTCCACTCCTGTTCCCTGTGTGCCTTGAAGTGGTTGCCTGATGCCTCCTGGCCCTGGAGATGCAGACACATTCATCACCCCATGGTAGCAGAGTTCTCCTGAGCAGCGCATGCAGTGTGGGAAGCCAAGAGCCTTTCAGACTGGGCTTTGGTGAAAAGCATCGGCAGACGCAGCTGCTGTTATATGCTTGGCAGAGGGTCTCATGGGGGCTGAGAATAAAATATTGGCCAGGACACAATCCTTATGAGTTCCTCCTGCCAGCTGTCCTTCTCAAACATTAGCTGCCTGGGAAGGCAGGATGCCAAGCCACTCTTAGAGAGTTCAGCTTAGAAAGACAGGTATCTTGCGCTTGGCAGGGCTCTGGCATTCAATGGAAGCAGGCTGGTGCAGCCTCCTCTTGGACTGGCCAACTCATGCACCCTCCTTTCACTAAAGGATTGGACGGATTCCCCATGCAATGGCTGGTGGGTTGAGTGGGCTTTGTTGTGCAAGACATAAAATGGCTTTCTTTGCCCTTCTTAGCGGTGTGTGAAAGTGCAGCGGGATGCCAGGATGGGGTTGATGCAGAGGCTGGTTTCTAAGGCAAGGGCTGGCAGATGCCAAGCCCCAGGCTGGCTGACTGACAGGGAGGACAAACCAGCACCATGAAGTAGTGACAGACATACAAAGAACTGGACACCTGAACTGCACCTTGTGCAACCCCTCTGGCTCCTGTGCCCACCTATGCATCACTCCGAGGCACGGGGCAGTCTCAGAGTCAAAGCCCAGTAGCGGAATTAATGCCAAGGGCTTCACACTTCATTCCTGCCCGCATGAATGGGCTCATTGTAGGGGAACAGAGGGACGGCAGCACGCGGATTACACGGCATTGCGGCAGCGCTGGCATCGCGCCAGCCCGACCCTCAGTCCTTAGGCAGGCGGGAGAGCTGGCCTGAAAGCAGGCAGCTCTGTGCAAGGGAAGGAAGAGAGCCCTACACACGACTCAAGCCCTGTGCGACGGAGCCTGCCTGCTTGAGCAGATGCATCACTGCTGCATCTCAAGCCCTCCTGGTGCTCAAGCACATTTAAATCTGGCTGCACAGCATGAGGCAAAAAGGGCTGCATTTGGACCCAGGGCTCACACAGCACAGTTACTCGGGAATCAAGCATCTTCTCATCTTATGTACCTCACAGCAGATTGGGGATTAAGCTTGACTCACGTATCATGGTGGTCCTGTGACCCATAATCTTGCTGTTAGTTGGGAAACCAGTGGAAATCAGTTAATTAGCACTAATTAATGCTTCCAAGAGGAACCATGCTTTTCTAATTAAGTGTGAGAGAGTGGAGTGACCTTTCTGCAAGCAGATCTACAGACATAGTGAGGCAAGGGGGGATGGTCCTGTCCTTCTCTCTCTCACACAGTGACAGGGACCGCAGGAACAGTCACTGCTGCTCTGCCCTGGGCTCTGTCACCCTCCAGATCCGTGTATCCTGCTCTCCAGCTCGTGCAGCCCCTGAGCCATGCCAGGGGTCTGCTTATCGCACTACAACACCACAGGAGGGACAACGGGAGCACAACCACGTGCTGGGGACTAAAGGCTTTCTCCTTCTCACATCACCCACATCACCGCTATCAGGGCAAGGAGGGAACACAAGGATGTGGTGAAAAGTGGGAAATTTTACTCCCTCCCTAGTGATTTGTTTCAAGTTTGGAGGGTCTGGTTCTTATCCACAGTTTGCAAAAGCATTTCATGCTGTCCAGTTGTCAAGGAAATGTGGACCAAAAGTAGATGTAGGGGGTGCTATGGAATTAGACTTTGTTCACAGGTATGGCCTTGCCTCAGAGCAGGAACCCAGGGAACTGAGGATGTCTGTGGGCAGCAGGATGTGCCTTAGCAGCCAGGGAAGAAACCAGGGAGAGGCGGAACTCACCTCTGCAGGTCTGCTGTTGGTAGATGTCCATTCCTCCATCAAGACCTCTCATATCCAAGACACAGAAGTGACAGCTTTGTTTTTCTCTTCCAGGACATGTCTCGAAAACATCACACCTGGAAGGAGCAGAGTCCCTGGCTTTCATCCCTGGTAGGGACTGGGGTGGCCGCCAAGGGCTTCCCCATGGGTGCAGATGAGCAGGCAGCAGGCTGGAACCCACCCCGCTGTGGTGTGCCAGACCTCCCGGTGCTGCCGGACGGCCAGAACGGGCGCAACCGGCAGAAACGCTTCGTCCTTTCCGGGGGACGCTGGGACAAGACTGACCTCACCTACAAGTAAGAGAGATGTGAAATGAGAGTAAGACTCAATGGCTTCTCCCTCCCTAAAACTCTCCATCTGATGTCCCTTGACTGCGGCATGCTGTGATGTCCTCATACAAGTAGGAGGGCAGCCCTGAGCTGGGTATAACCAGCTTGGCAGGGCAGCCACACACCAAACCGCCTGCAGGACTGCACCCAGCACCTCTCCATCCCTTCACGCACGTGTTCCTGTAAATGCAGCTGCTCACTCCCCCATCCCAACACCTTCTGCACAGCCACCCCTCAGCTTGTCCACAACAGCATCTCCACGCATGCCTTTGCTTCCCCATATCAAACCCCAATGCACACTGAGCTGTGCAGCAGCATAATCCTGCTGTGCTTTTGCCCCCCACAGCCATCATTCCATAGGCTGACCTCACAGTTTGTTTTAAAAAGTCAGTTTTATGCTGCTGCTATTGATGTTCCCATAAACATGATTCTGGTGTCAAGTTTTGCCCAAACCAGCCCACACATTCTCAAGTGCAGATCTGCTGATCAGGTCTAAGGGAAGGTTTGTTGTCTCCCCAGTTCCCCATAGGGTGTGAGGTGTGAGTGCTGAAGTGAGCACACTTGTAAGGACTTCAACAGCACACAAATAATATTTTGTTTAATTGAGTGCAGAAGATTGTTCCTCACAGCGTTAGGAGGCTACAGATGAAAGAAAGGCTTCTTCCATTTTTTACTTTGGTCAAGTGTTAAAGGAGGAAACACAGCTGAGATGAACACACACCAACACTGTTAGTGGAAGGGAAAGCAAGCTCCTTTTGTAGCAGACCTGACACTCTGATTATGTTGCAGAGAGCAGAATAGGCAGCTGCTCTGAGCAAGCCCAGATTTCCAGGGTCAAAAAGATTGATGGGCTAAAATAATATCACACCACTTCCAGGCAGCTCTGTGGGGATGGACTCAAGACAGAACTGGGAAATGCTGCAGCCCTTTACTCCAGAAAAGCACAGCTCCCCTCTGGGCCCAGTAGCCCGAGGGTTTCAGCACTGATGGAATTTGTCTGCTGCAATGTTGCATGGAAGAGGGTTCTGGAATGGAGCATCTCTGGATTGGAGGTACTCTGGTGCCAAGAGGGAGTGGCTGATGCTCTTTTCCCCTTGGGTCTTTTGCCTTTCAGAATTATCAGATTCCCGTGGCAACTTGTGAAAACCAAAGTGAGAAGGACCATCGAGGAGGCTTTGAAAGTCTGGAGCGATGTGACACCGCTGACCTTCACTGAGGTTCAGGAGGGCCGGGCTGACATTGTCATTGATTTCACAAGGTGAGCGCGGCGGGCAGCAACACACTGCTCCCAGATGGAGCAGCAGCACCGAGTAGGAGATCCCAGGCCTGCAGCTGAGCTGCCAGCACAGCACGGGCACTGACAGGGAGACTCATATTTCAGCTCTCAGACTTGGGCATGTTTTTGGTTTTTCTGTCAGATGTGGGCCGCTTAGTGTAAATGCAGCTGTTCTGTGCTGGCTGTGCACAGTACCGTTACTAATCCGTCATTAACTCTGCGTATATTTACATTTCTCTGCCCACAGGCTGTTTTCCTAAGTGTTTGTTTTGACGTTCCATCTTCAGGTCCTCCATCCTGTCCCCTGACAGTACAATGTAACTGTCTGCCTGAAGACAAATATAGCTTCCTTGTTAAATGAATTTTGGCTCTTGGCTTGAAATTAATGGCTGGCAAAACATTCACAGGAGCAAAGGCTTCCCTCTGTGGCCTGTTTGCACAAAACTGAGAACGGCAGTGGAGACTGTCCAAGCAGGGACGCAATTTGTGTTCTGTGTATTTGCCTGTGCCACCCTCAGCTCCCTACAGTGGTCACATCCCATGGAATTCCTTCAGTTGCCAACAGTGGGCTCGGCTTGAGTGAGGACCTGAGGATTTGGCTGGCTTCCTCACAGGCTGCCCCTCCACATTCCCTGCCATTCAGCCAGGTTGATTCAATTCTGGCTCCGGCACCCATTTAATTCTTTAGGTTCCATCTTCAGCTGTGTCTTGAGAAAACCATAAAACTCCCCTGGGCTTGGTGTGATGGGGCTCTACTTACTGAGTGCCCTGGCACAGAACCAGGTTGGCATCAACCTGTAGGGCTCCAAGCAGTCAATTATGGGATGAGCTTGTGGTGGGACGGAGACCTGCTGTCTCCTCGCAGCGATTCTCCACTTTGGGCCGTGCAGTGCCAAGCACCTGAGCCACATGGCTGTTTGTCTGAGGCGCGCTGTGGTTCCCCTCCAGGTACTGGCATGGTGACAATTTGCCCTTTGATGGGCCCGGAGGGATCCTGGCACACGCATTCTTCCCCAAGACGCATCGGGAAGGAGATGTCCATTTTGACTACGATGAGACATGGACGATCGGGAACAACCTGGGTATGGTACTGTTTAAGGCAGCTGTGCTGTGCCAGGTGTCTGTCGGCGCACTTAGAGATTATTTAACTGTGCTTTGAGCAGGGGCCCTGTAAAATTGATACGCAACCATCATTGTTGTGGGATGTATTGTCACTTCCTGCCACTTACAAGCCTGCTGGACTTTTTTGTCCTCTTCCAGCCACAGCAAAGCCTATGCCCAGCACTTGGATTCCCAGAGCAGACACAGGCTCACACACTGGATGACACACCAAGTGGCTTCCAAAGGACAGCATAGCAATCAGGCCTCAGACTCAGTCCTGCATGCCCTCAGAGTATTTTCCCTTTGAACAAGTCCATAAAGGGAATCTACCCAGGCTCCAGCTCTGTCCCTGTGGCCTGGGAATGCTCTGACCATAAACAATGCCACTGCAAGTCAAGACATTTTTTTCTTTGCTAATAATAGATCGGAGCTGGTAGCTCATTGCTCAGGCATTTGGGGCCTGGCGTCACAGTATCCATGTGATACCACAGTACCACTTGGGACCATCTGGACCAGCGCCCAAAGCATCCGTTTCTGCAAGAGCCACCCAAACTAGTGCAGGGACAAAGACAATCACAAAGCCCGAGTTAAAGCTCTGCCCCTCTGAGGTTTTCCAGATATTTTGTCCACATTGATGTCAGGACTCAGACGGGTCGCCCTCAAGTCCGATTCTGTCAGGTGAACACCAGGTTGGCTCTGTGGGGGACAGGACTATCACGTGTCCGACTTGGTCCTTGCCATCCTGATACAAGAATCTCAGCACCAGGTCTTGCTGCTGAAACCTTTCTGCTTCTCAGGGACAGGTGGGTTCTGACACTTTGCACCTCCCATTGGGGCTGCATGAAGAATTTCCTACATTCTCTCATAGACAGCGTTGGAGCCAAACCAGAACTGTCAAAACAGATGCCAGTTCCCATCAGAACCCAGCCCTGTTCCATGGCCTTTTCCCCCCTCTGCCTTCCATAAATAAATGTTATAAAAGGTCTTTGCAGCTAATTGCTATTTAATATGCCGAAAAGAGCTTTATGATATAAACACGGTTTAATCCTTGCCTAAGCTCTCAGAGATAGGAAAATCCTTAGCCTCATTACATACATGGCAGAGCAGAGGGGGTGAGGTGCCTCAGGGTCAGCCCAGAGCCGTGCAGGGAGCAGGACTGCATGCAGAGGACCTTCTGTGAGGGGCAGCAAAGCACCCAGCACAGCTCCTGCAGACGTGCTGTCCTTCACCTCCCCAGAGAATCTGACAGTACTGCTGCAGATCTGCCAACACTGGAAAGCATCGAGTGAGGATCCTGCCAAGCTAAACACAAGTGTCTGAAAGTTTGTAATAAATCACTGACACAGAGACCCCACTTTGTCAGCTGACCTAGGTGTGTTGATCTAATTGTGTCAGTGCTGCAAAAATTCATCGCTTCTACGTGCAGCTGACCAGCAGAGGAAGACCAGGGCTCACCTTCCCCTCCACCCTTCCCAGGCTCCCTTCCAGCTGCATCCCCATCCCGGTGCTGAGCAGTGACCTGCTCCCCTGGGCCAGCAGGGAAATCCCGCTCGGAGCAGTGAGACCAGCTGACTCACATCCCTGCCTTTCTCATCACCTGGGCTGCAGCTCGGAGGATTTCTGGCTGAAGGCAAGTGAAGGAATACGCTGAGACTTGTCAACAAACAGCCTCAGCTCACAAGCTTCGCTGCTTAATGTTTCTCTTTCAAATTTCCCTAAAATGTATCAACTTCAAAAATGATCTATTGGAAGGTAAATAACATCTGCCAGTCAAGCAACATTTTTGTTTACTGAAATACACTTTTCTCTGTTTACTCTTATAAACGCTGTTTGATCACATATTCCCGAGGTACAATCTCCCATACAACTGCTTGTGCTCGGTGAAGAAGGGCAGGTCTTGACACTGGAGGAATTTTTATGTGTTTATCTTTAAATGCCCTCCTATTGCCACAATCCATACACAAGCAATAAATGAGCTCCCTCTGCTGTCTGCGTGGCAGCCACCACTCGCCGGCTGCATTCCCGGAGGAGACCCCAGTGACACCAGGAGCTGCCACAGCAGGCATGAGATAAGTGCTACCTGCTACATTATAGCTGTAGCTAACAACAGCTGCAAGCCTGGGTGAACAAAGAGCAGCCTTCCCACCCACCGCTTACGTCTGAAGGCCAGGTTTCCTTCTTTCTGCAAAGTTCTCCTTTCCAAAAGTATGTGGAAAATCCTCACCTTCCAGATAGCTAATGAAGTCCCTGGAGACAGAATTAAAGATTACCAACATGCCCAGGCTAATACCTGAGCATATGAATTCACTCACAGTGCTCTGGAATCAGTGGATCCCTTAATTAATTATGCCCTTTGATCCCTTAAAAACCACACACACAAACAAGGTATAGAGCTATACAGGAAAACATCCAGGAACAGTCTGCAAGCTAGGTTTCTATTGCTGCATGTCAGACTCCTAGAGCATACCTCAGTGCATTGTCAGGAGCTGATGATCAGCAGCAATGAGCCTAATAGGACAGCATCCTCTCTGTGAGAGAATCATCCTCACAGCCTGCCCATCTCACACTAACAGGCACAAGCGTCTCCTGTCTCATCCCTTTGCAGGCACTGACCTCCTCCAGGTGGCTGCTCATGAGTTTGGCCACGTGCTGGGCCTGCAGCACACAACTGTCTCCAAGTCACTGATGTCTCCTTTCTACATCTTCCGCTACCCGCTGAGTCTGAGCGAGGATGACAAGCAGGGTATCCAGTATCTCTATGGGAAACCCAAACTGGATCCCGACCCAACCCCAATGCAGCCAGCAGAGCTGCCCCAGCCAGACCTTGAAACAAACGAGATCACCAACGTGGAGGTAAGCAAACAGCTCGTCTCTGTCTCCTTTATCACTGTGGCGTGTTCTCAGCTGCTGAGGCTGCCCACACCATGGGGCCAGCAGCAGTCTTGGACATGATTTGATGCCTGTTTTCCTTGCACACCACTGAGCTCAGTAGTAGGATGACGTCCTGGACACGGGGCTGTCTCATCAGCTGAACCCAGCCTGGGTGAGGGCGGTTCTCGTGGGTCCCAGCCCCTGACCAGGCCATGCTTTGGCAGGCTGCGCAGCCCGATGCCTGTGAGACAGCTTTTGATGCTGCAGCCACCATCCGGGGAGAGCTGTTCTTCTTCACATCTCGCTACGTGTGGCGGCTCCGAGCTGGAAAGCTGCAGGCCGGTTACCCAGCTCTGGCCTCACGTCACTGGCAGGGGATCCCAAGTTCTGTCGATGCCACCTTCGAGGACCCTCTGGGCAATATCTGGTTTTTCCAAGGTAAGAGCTGGACTGGGATCAGATGGCTCAGAAGTAGTCTTCTTTACAGCGGGGTATTCAGGACACAACAAGTCCCTGGGAGAAGAAACCCTTAGGATACACTCAACAAATCATGATTCTTGCTGTTTATTTCTTTCTCTGTTTAAGCTTTTTAGCAGATGTGAAGGGGAGAAGAGAGAAGAAAGGGTCGCTTTTACTTCAGACACAACCATATCTATGCCTCTGGAATTGTTTTGAGCCTCTGCCCTGGCCATGCTGCTGGCAGAGGAGGAAGGAAACACTTGTAACATCTTTCTTGGGGATGAAAACAGGAGAAAAGTGGCAGGTTCACTGGTGCCCACAGTTACTGAGTTTTGCTAGCACCCCAAAACTGTGAGCCCACAAAGAAGGGAGCCCTTACGTAGAGCCAGGCAACCTCCAGACACCACAGGGATTCAACACCAGCCACCACAGCGGGGTGAGCCCTCCTGGACAACTTTGGAGCTTAAGACCAGCAAGGACTGCTGTTTCAGCTCCATTGTTTTCTCTAATGCTCTTTCCAAGTGTGTATTTAATATCAGGGACACAGAACTATGTAACTATGCCCAACTGCCCTGACTGTGCATGCCCCATCTGTGCACTATGAGACCAAGCACCAGAAACCACACCAGGCAGCTCTGCAGGCAGCTTTACCACATAAACAGATTGCTCACCTGCAGATGAGGTTTACAGTGTGAAAACTGGCAGGCTCCAACCATGAATTAAAATGAGATAAGGGGAAAGTATTACATGCCATAGGGCAATTACAGAGTTTCCAGTTTAATCTAAACTGGAAATATGTCCCCCATCTCTGTTTCAGCTTGGCAACAAGAAATGGAGTTCTGTACTTTGCCTCTCTACAGCCACATGTCCCCCTTATGCCTGTACGTATGATCTCTTCCAGATAAGCAGGCAGGGTAGGGACTGATCCTTGGGCCCTATCCCGTGCACGGATGTGGCACACAAGGAACGTGCCCCCCTTGAGCCAGTCCATAACCCATTTTGCTTCTCTGCAACCGCCTGGCTGCCCCAGGCCTCGCCACAGAGATGCCACAAGAATCAGCCTTTGTCTGGTCAAACTCTACAGCTTTGTGGATTTCTTTATCCAATGATGGGCTCTACTCCTTTTTCGGCATAACCAGGGCAAGCTAAAAGTTCAGGGCTGATTCAATTGCCTGAACGCATCCTCAAAAACTACAGGCAACCCCATCTGACTGGAGCAGCTAGAGAGAAACATTCTTTCAAATGAACACAGGCCTCTCCAACACCACAACCATGAGAGGCCAGGAAAGGCAGCCTGGCAGCTAGTATGTAAAGTTAAATCTTGTATTATAACTTCCACAGATACAGAAGAGACAGCTGCTAGGAGTCCTCCCAATCCCACCACTGACAATTCTGGTTGAATTGAGGGGAGAATTAAATTCCTTACCCGCTTGGTGGGCATTCATAAATAGCTTTCCTTGGGAGCTCTGCCCAGGCACCAGCTCAAGTCTGCAATTCAGTGCCAAGTTATCTGACATCTAAGAACCTCTGAACCTGTGTCCGCTTTTCCATCTTCTCACCAGATTCTCAGTACTGGATTTATGACGGCGAGAGAAGAGTCTCTGGTCCCACCCCAACTGTAGAGCTGGGCCTCCCTGCTTCTCCCGTGCAGGCAGCTCTGGTGTGGGGAGCAGAGAAGAACAAGATTTACATCTTCAGTGGAGGCAACTACTGGCGCTTCAACCCTCGCACGCGCCAGGTGGACAACATCTACCCCCGCACCATGGCTGACTGGCGTGGTGTCCCACAGGAGATTGATGCTGCTTTTCAGGATGAGTTGGGTCAGTGCCAGTGGGGACAGGGCCTGCTCTGGGGCATGCGCTCAGGGTGATGCTACTTCCCACCAGAAAGACTTAGACATTTGGTAGCAGTGGACACTTCCCAGCCATAGCACATGCCATGAAGTTTATACAGACTCAGACAGGTCCCTCTTGTCTGAGGGACCTCCTCCTGTCTGTCCCTTCCCTGGGTAGGGAACCGTGGATTCTTTTAAAGTATTAATTAGAACAATCAACATTTAAGCATCTGATGAGAGAAAACTTAAAACTTCTGGTAAATGAATGGTCACAGAGTCCTACCCAGCTGTTACCATTCCCAACAATGTCAGCACAGCAGCTCTGCCCACAGTTCAGCCTAGGCAGCTGTGCTGAACAAACCAGCTGCTTTCAGTATTACCTAGTGCTGGCAGCTGAGCCAAGCTATCTCACCTACTCCTCCCTCTATCTTCCACAGGTTTTGCCTATTTCCTGAGAGGCCGAGACTACTGGAAGTTTGACCCCGTCCAGGTGAAGGTGCTGGAGGGTTACCCACGCCACATCAGCCAGGACTTCTTCAGCTGCACACCTTCCTCCAACTCCTTCCGATGAAGGAGCATCCCCCTCTCTTCCCTTCCATCCTTGACCTCCAGCAGCCACAGAGGGCTCCGCCGCCCGTCCTGGCTCCTTTCAGGCACAGAGCCTGACACAACAGACGTGTCACAACAAGTGACAAAGTTTGCTCCTCTCCCGTTCCAGCAGCAGCCCCAGCTTCTGTCACTGTCAACACAAAAGCATCTGCCACATTCTTTACAGACACGAGCAGGCCAGGTCCTTCCAGCGATAGCATCCCAAGAGCCATCAGGCCCGCCTGGAACGGGACTCCCCCCATAACCCCGACCCGCCGCCGCCCTCCGCTCCGTGAGGCCGCAGCCCCTCAGCCAGCCCCCCCGCGGCTCCCAGTGCTGGACACTGCCCCTCCGCACCGCGCTCCGAGGACGGAACCAAACCCGCGGGCGTCAACGTTTGTACGACGCGTATAAACCCTTTTTTTTTATATATAAATATATATATATATACTGTGTATATACGTATGGATGTACCAATAAAGCGCCTCTTTTCTACCTGCCGCCCGCCTCCCCTCAGCGCCGCCGCCGCCGCGCGCCGGGTGGGCGGGAACGAGCGCGCGGGAACGGGTAGGTGGGAACGAGCGCGCGGGGCGGCGCCCGGCGCATGCGCAGAGCAACAGCTGAGTAGGCCGCGGCGCTGCCCCTCCCGCTGCGCCCCGCTCCTCTCAGCGCCGCCAGAGCCCCGCCAGGCCGCCGCGATGATGATGATGGCGCTGAGCAAAACCTTTGGGCAGAAGCCTGTTAAGTTCCAGCTGGAGGAGGACGGCGAGTTTTATATGATCGGCTCCGAGGTGCGGACAATGGCGGGGGCCTGGAGGGGGAGGGGGGGCGAGGCTGAGGGATGGGCTGCGCTGAGTGGGGGCAGAGGGCCTTCGCTGCAGTGATAGCGTGGGAAACGTGCGGCTGAAAGGAGCCGGAGCCGCGGGCAGTCGGGCCGTGTGCGCCGTACGAGGCACGTGGAGGAGGAGCAGGAGGAGGGATCGCCTTCCCGTTCCCCGCTGTCTGCTGGTGAGCGCTGCAGGTCAAAGATACAATTAAAAATGGCCTGAAAGATGGTAAAGTCAAAATGAGTCCTGTCTGACGAGGAATGTGAGCCTTTTTGTGGACTATAATCACTGTACAAGCACAGCACCAGTCTAAAAATCTGCTTTCAGAGCCTAGAACTCATCCTGCTGCCTTGTGCTGAGGAAGGCAGAACTGCTTTGCGGGTATTCAGCAAGCCTGGAGGAGGCAGAGATCACATCCTGCGTGTTGCAAGGATTTAAAGGACCGGGCAGGGCTGTGGTGTCTGAGCTATCCCAGTGCTGTCTGGGAAAAGGGATGCTGCTGGAGAGCTGGGTATGCAACTGGGTTAAATCCCTACTGAGTACTGCGTTAATATAGCAAAGTCAATGTTAAGTTGTTCAAAAATACATAAAAATTGATTGTTGTCAATGAGTTGGAGTTTGTTATCAAACTAGATTAGGTTGGATGTCAGGGAGAAGTTCTTTACAGGGAAAGTGGTGAGGTGCTGGAACAGCTGCCCAGCGAGGCTGTGGATGCCCCGTCCCTTGGAGGTGTTAAAGGCCAGGTTGGATGGAGCCCTGAGCAGCCTGGTTTAGTATTAAATGGGGAGGTTGGTGGCCCTGCATGTGGCAGGGGGGTTGGAGATTCATGGTCCTTGAAGTCCCTTCCATCCCTGACCGTTCTGTGATTCTGTGACTCTGTGATAGTGAAGTAAGTGCTGACAACAGCTGTGTTTTCTATATTGTGCCAAAAATTGTACTCTACGATGCCAAACCTGATATATTCTGAAAAACATAAAAAATCCTCTTGGGATGGCTATCATTACAGAGGATTTGTTTCAGCTTCTGATAAGCATTTCTTTAAATGGAACGTGATTCCAGGTCATATCTTTGCTTTTCTTTTTCCAGGTGGGGAACTACCTGCGTATGTTCCGGGGCTCCCTGTACAAGAGGTACCCCTCACTCTGGAGACGACTGGCCACAGTGGAAGAAAGGAAGAAGATAGTGGCATCTTCACATGGTAAGAAGATGAGTAAATGTTCCCAGACTAAATGACTGCCTTGAAGAACTGTCTCTGTAGGCTCAGAAGCTTGTGTACCTTTAGGGCTTTGCTAATCGCTTCAGATTGCCTCAGTGATGGAGTGTTCTGCAAAATATGCTGTCCTGGGGTTGGCTGCATTCGTCACAATGCAAAAGTCACACCTCAAGATAAACACCGTATTCCAGAAGGGACTTTTATTCTCAGAGGGGTGCTTCTGTCCCTTAGCCCATTGAAAGCCTGCACATGTACTTTATATGTTTACAACTCCCAGAGTTTGTAGTGTGTTTCTACTGATGTTACTGCCACAGTGAGAATACAGCCACCTTGGTATTATTTCTGATGGGAGACTTCTTATATAAGTACTTATATTCATTAGCAGTGTAACTTGTTCCTCAGGCTAAGGCATAATAACGACAAGCAGTTCATTCTATACTTAAGCCTCCTCCCTCTCATATCCTGCTGACCCATTGCTGTTTTCTTTCTTTTCCAACAGAAAATCAGAGGTCTCACAGTCCCAGAAGATGTAAGTCTGATTTTTGTGTTATTCTTAGCTGTGCTGCAAGAATAATCTCTGTCATGACCTTTAGTGTTATTACAGTATGTATTAACATCTCACCCTCTGATCTCTCCCTGTGGTCTTCCAATTGTGCATCGTCATCACATGCTGAACTTTTCTTTCTCAGAACATCAATGGGTTTTTGGATGCAGATGGTCTGTGCAATTTAGCAAGTTCTGTCCTGAGATTCTCCCCCTTTTCTAAGTCTTAAGAGTTTGTACTCCATGGCTTAGCTTTCATTAATATTTGATGTGTCTGCTCAGCCACTCGCTTTTCCACTGAGTGTTACATCTCCAATTCCAACCTTTAAGTCCATTGAGGATTTATAGTTTTCTGGGCTTTTCATCCCAGAGATTGTGGAAGAGATTTTACATCACTGTGGGAAACTGTAGGTGTGCAGAACTAAACGATGTGATAGTATGGGGTAATACAGGGTAGGAATTTTTTTTTCTCCCCTTATGTAAAAGCACATTATTTATAAGCTTATTTACTATTTAGGAGGACTTAAAAACATTTAAAATGATGTGTTTTCTTTCTAGTCCCACCTGCACTGACAGAGAGGGCTGTTCACTATTCAGCTTGTTTATGTCATATGCTGCATAATGCTCTTTCATGTTAATTATTGGCATCTTTCCTGGTAACAGATCATGGATATACAACATTAGCCACCAGTGTAACACTGTTAAAGGCCTCTGAAGTGGAAGAGATCTTGGATGGAAATGATGAGAAATACAAGGCAGTGTCTATCAGCACAGAACCTCCCACCTACCTCAGGTAACCAGTGTTGGTGAGGACCATGAAGCTGCTGGAACGTGTCAGCATGGACTGGAAGCACTGTCCTGTCCCAATAGAAATCGTATAAACCCCTAAAAGGGCAGCTTGCAGGGGGTGCTTGCAAGTCTGTGCTAGCAGATATTTGCAATGTTGGGCAAATGAAGATCTCCAAATTGTAAGGATTGGGTTGCTGCCCACGTATTACAGGAAGAAAAACATTAGTGTTTGATGATACAGCTCATTTTGCAATTACTTCATTCCAGCTGTAACAGATGTTTTGGAGAACACTCTCTGCACGTACTTTTTGCTGGAGATGTCGCATTTCTCAACAGTCCCTCTGTAAATACAGACAGGAAATTCAAATATGAAGCTCATATTTATAGTGGTACACCTGGATCCATGTACGATGGATAGCTGTGAGCTGGAGAATGGACTTCGAAGGAGGGAGTGTGGAATAGGAGTTCTCAGTCCAGCTGTCATTAGGGAGGAGCTCGTAATTTATGGTACTATTCTTAATAATAGTGGCAGTGGTGTTCAGGGCCTGCAGGTTAACACAGTCTCATTCTCCAGAGAACAGAAGGCGAAGAGGAACAACCAGTGGGTGCCAACACTGCCCAACAGCTCTCATCACCTGGATGCAGTGCCGTGCTCAACAACAATTAACAGAAATCGCATGGGCAGGGACAAGAAGAGGACCTTCCCTCTGTGGTAAGGCAGCTTCCTTCTTCAGAAAAATGGAAACAGTTACAACGTGACTCACTGCAGGGGGCTGCTCTAATAGAGAAGTGGTTGCCATAGCCCTGTAACTTTGAGTTGAAGAGTATGTCTAGTAACTGGGGAGTTGAAGTATAGGGATTGGTAACAGTAAAAAGCACCCTCCTTCTATGCGTGCCAGATGTATGGTTTTCTATTCCATGTGCTGTATTGTTGCTCTTTGTTGTAGCTTTGATGACCACGACCCAGCAGTCATCCATGAGAACGCATCCCAGCCAGAGGTTCTGGTTCCAATCAGGCTTGACATGGAAATTGATGGGCAGAAACTCAGAGATGCATTTACATGGAACATGAATGGTATGTAGGAGGAGAGTTTCCTGGGGTTAGAGAGATACAGATGCATTCATCACCAAATATGAAGAGAGAACAAGCAGGTCTTTGCCCTGTAAAGGAGGAGCTCTAAAGCTCTTGTTCTTTGATGTGTCGTTCAGCTCTCATGGCTCTTAGCAGATCCCTGACACTTCCACGGGTCGCAGTAATTCCTGGATGCTGTAATCTGAAAAGTTAGGCCTGTTCTGATCCACTTTATCAGTTCAGCAGCCTAATGGAAATGTCAGCCAAGATTAATACTAAATAGTTAATGTGTATTTAATTAATTAATAGACCGTTGCTGCGTTCTTTGTGAAACAAGAAAGTCAAGTCAGTGTGTACATGTGTGCAGCCCCGGAACAAAGCACTGTTTTAACAGCAAAAGGTGATTCCCTTCTTCAGGCAATGATCTTAACTTGGGTATTCTGTAAGTGGCAGATATTGGTGGCTGAGAAATAAGTCTTTTTGTTCTTATTCTGTATCAGAAAAGCTGATGACCCCAGAAATGTTCTCAGAGATTCTTTGTGATGACCTGGATTTGAATCCTCTGACCTTTGTCCCTGCTATTGCCTCTGCCATCCGACAACAGATCGAATCGTACCCAACTGACAGCATCCTAGAGGATCAGTCAGACCAACGTGTTATTATTAAGGTAAGGACACGGGGGCACTGGAATGAGAGCTGAACCATTTGCATTTCTCTAGGTTGTTTTTTTTTTTTTATGGGGGAAAAATAGTACAAGGACTTCCATCAAAACTAGGAGTTCCTAATTCCAGTCCTGTGTCCAGGTTAGATTTTGTCCTTGAGAAATGAATGACTTGTTTCTTCCCTTGTCTCCAGCTAAACATCCATGTAGGGAACATCTCCCTTGTAGACCAGTTTGAATGGGACATGTCAGAGAAGGAGAATTCACCAGAGAAGTTTGCCTTGAAGCTGTGCTCAGAGCTTGGCCTGGGTGGGGAGTTTGTCACTACTATTGCCTACAGCATCCGGGGACAGCTGAGCTGGCATCAGAAGACATACGCCTTCAGGTACAAACTGTCATCTTTCTGGATGGGTGTAGATGCATGTTCTAACTTCATGGCT